GATGGTGTCTTTTGTTTTAACTACAAGTACCAGTCCCGATTCGTACATTTTTGCCTTGTGCTTTTTGATTTCTGTGTAGTTCGTTGGAATGAATTTGTAGACATCTAAAACGTAACGTTAATGAAATTTTGCAAGAAAAAAATGAAGGGTGTTGCCGCTTGAAGGCCACACAGCGAGACTTGCCGAGTGGAGTCTGCGTACTCCTAAGGCTGGTCCAGTGAAGGAGTAGGGATCACTGCGCCACGCTTACTCTGGTCGCCTGCTTTCTCAAAGGCACATTCCGCGAAAAAATAAGGCTATGACCTCTCAAATGTGTCGGACGATCCGGAAGGCGATTTTTGAGGCTGCGCTACTTTCAAAATGTGAAAAACGGCAAGAACTCCGCTAGAAGCTGACTAATTAGGCCCATGGACACCCCTTAGGCCCATGCCGACAAGCCTCCTACGACGGCACGTCAAAAATGCCCTACGACGAGCCCTACAACGGCACGTCAAAAATGCCAGTTACAAGGGCCGCAGCGCCCTCGTTATTGGCTGTGAAGCCGCGAAAGTGGTCAACTCAGACAGTACAAACTGCTTACCGCTACTTGCGCGCGACCTCCCGCGAGGGTGGGGTGGATACAGGGCGCAACGGTAATAAACTGCACTCTGGTTATATTTGCACTAATGCGAACACCCATCTTCTATTCTCCTCCTCCTTGACTCCAGTCTTCTTGTGGTTTTTAGGTATGTCACAAACTGTCTGTCTGTACTGTATTACGAATTTTGCCATTTGTGATGTCGGTACTATGTCATGTTGTGTCATTTCTCTTGCTAATTTGATCTGAGTTTAAATGGAGGCAGTTCGGCCACGGGGGGCATTTTGCGCTTTTGATATTTCCCCATAGATCCGTCGACCCATCTAGAGAGCTGTTTCATGTGCTCACAAGAGTAGCCCGATAGGCTTGCTCTAGCTTCACAGAAGTTCATATTTTCACCAGACAGACCTGTAAACCGAACTAGTGCGGCAGCAATGGTGCAAAGGCCCTCCGTCGCCGAACTTGCCTTTATTTGTCTATACCTTCTTACCTTGGTACCACATGATGTGGTCTTCAGATTTGCGTCCTTTGTTCGTGTTTTTTGACGGGAATTAGTTCCTTACGTGAAAACCCTACATAAAAAGGAGGCCTCAGTTGGCTCGTGGCAAGCCTTTTCAGAGGACAATCAGCTGCGCGACTTCTACTTGTGGGAGGGTGCTACGTGCACTGACCCAGGTGCATTCCGCCGAAGTCACCGGCTTTTTAGCACCTAGACACGACACGACTTGAACAGTGAAGAATCCTACACATTCTTCGAGCGAGGGGCTGTTTTTCACGCAGTGAGCTATTCCGCTCGGCTAGTCTCGTTTCACATGTATCCTCTCCATGGGCTCCAAAAGCATTGCAGTCGTTTACCTGGGGCTGTGGCAACGTAGATACCATGACCAGTGAAACCGTTCATAAGAAATGCCGGCTAGAAATAAACTATACTTATTTAGAATAGAATTAGAATAGTAACACGCCCAAACAAACTGTTGCGACAGTTTATTCATATTAACCCTACCAATCTGGGTAAGTAGGCGTGTATCCGAGGAGAAAGGGAGAGCATTCAGCCGCTCCTCTGTGCTCCGCCTCTAACCAAGATTTCCGCTCAGAGTTTCGATAAGCGACTCTCACTACAGACAGCTCCAATGAAGTTTCAGTAGGAAAAGGATCCAAGGACATCTCCAAGTGGTCTCACTCCCACCCCATTCCTCCCACTACGTTTTCACCCATTAGCGCCACAAGGAAGTATGATTGATCGACCCTAGATAGGAGGACTCCCCTCGATTACGAGGCCGCCTTCATATTTCGGGACTCAATCCAATCGCTCGACTTTTTAATCACGCTCAACTACTAATCGCTGGACAGCTGCAACTACTGTTCAGATAATGCCCTGAATGGAGCTTCGCATACTTTGGCATACGGTTCGCATCGATCAGAACGGGGTCATAAAGACGAATCCACCAGGGAGCGTGGAGTGAGCCTAGCCACGGCGTTTTCTACTCAAACCAGCCGGTATCCGCTAGTAGGTAAGGCATCCGCGGGTGGGCTCATAGCACGCCCTCTGATACCGCCGCCGAACTGCGAGAACTATGAACGCTTGATACGTCATGGAACCTTACCTTCCTGCCATGTCGGCACCGCTTTTCGTCGAACTGTTTTAACGTTCCCAACCGTTCTCTAGTAGTCGTTTGTTTCCTCTCGTCAATTCCCTGCTCAGGCCAGGATTTCATCGGAGGTCTGCAAGTGTACGGAGATTATGCTATATAAAATAAGTCACGGAAGGTATGGCACGAGTTTGAGCTCCACTTTCACAGCGAGTGCGTTCGGTAGAGACACAGGCTGTAGATGATATTTGGTTTAAACTATAGGTTTCTATGGAGGGTCGTGAATGGAAAGGGACAACATCATCAAGTGGGTAAGGATTTTCAATCTTCTCCTCCTTACCAATTTTATGATATGGTCACATACTGTTCATAGACTTATATCACATCGTACAGTTTGACTATACCAGTCAGATCCCGGTCGACGTCGGTACTCCCTTATTCTTTGACGGAGTCCGGCTAGGGGAAGGCGGGCGCAATTTGATCGTGGACTGCTCCTATTAGTGAAATTTTCAGCTGCATTCATACTTTGCGGCAGCATCCACCAGCGACCATCAGCGTTTCGAGCGTCCGTCAGCGTGAGCGACTAGGAAAACGTGGATATCAGTCTAGCGAGCCACAGCGTCTACCAGTGTCCACCAGCGACCATCAGAATCTCGAGGGACTAGGAGAGTGATATCGATACAGTGTGTACGAGCGTCCATTGGCGTCTAGCAGCGACCAGGAGTAGAGAGTATGGGGAAGTAGGAGGGAGGAGACAGCTGGATTAGGCGTCGTGAAATTGTGGCGTGTGCAACCGCACCGTACGCTACACAATACCGTACTCCTGGTCGCTGGTGGACGCTGGTAGACGCTGCCGTTCGCTAGATTGATATCTATAGTTTCTCGCTGACGCTGACGGACGCTCGAAGCGCTGACGGTCGTTGGTGGACGCTGCCGCAAAGTATGAACGCGGTCTTAGGCCGAGCATCCCTTTCGGCTGTACGGCAGCTCAACGATTCTTGTCCTTTGCTATCACTCCCTTGACTTTAATACTATTATCCTCCGCCTTATGGTGTCAATCATCTGCGCAGATGAAACGGGGGGGGGGTAAGAAAATTCCCAACAATCCAGTTACTCAGACTCAGTTACTTCAACTAGGACAAAGCCGAGGCTCTGTCACAGAAGCAGGAGCGCTGGCGTCAGCCAGCTATCCTGCTGGTTTCTGCGATGCTTCAAATGAAAATTCCATACCCAGCTAACATTTTAGTCAGAAGGACAAATGTTGGAAGCTCTCCAACCTTTCAGTGACGTAATTTCGGCAAGTAATAAGTTGATGGACGTGGTTCAGGTTCCCTTTTTTGAACAGTATCGAAGTGTCCATATACCATATGGCCTTGAATTCAATGAGTGCCTCCTGAATGTCCATTATACTCGTTTTGTATTTAGCTGAAATTCCACGAACAAACGTCAAATTGACTGGTTCCGGACTGAAGGAACTCACAGCTATCATAAGCGGTTTCCAACGATACTCTTTCAAACTCGCGACATATTCGGGATACCGTGTGAAATCGAATTTTCGGAATTCCATGAAAGAATGTTTCTTAACAGCATCTGGTTAGATCGCTGTCGTGACCAAGCTCTCTTCTTTTAAAGTGAACTTCTCACTTTTTGTGACCATGAGAACGCAGGCGTTCCAACAGGGGACTGTCCCCCCCCCCTTCGACAGCTCGATCG